TTTCTAAGGATCATCATAGAATATAGCTAGAAAGATCGCTCATAAAATTTGCAACAAACGACGCGTTTTTTCTAGTCGGATTCCAATGCAATTCCGTTTCCAGGAATCCGATCGGATTTTGTCAGATGGTCGGATCCGGTAAGATCCGATCGAATCCAGCATCGGATTTGTTGACCTGGGATAGAACAGACTTAATCTCTTCTATTTTTTATTAACCATGGCAAAAAATATTTTATTTCAATTCCAATAAGAAAATAATACATATAACTTTTAGATAGGATTTCTATTGTTTATGGTTGTGCTCGGCCGTACTAGATTGAATCCTCCATTTATTCTTTTCATTATAGATTCTCTAAGTGGATCAGTAAAATAAAATAATGCAATCATAGCTGATAAAATTGCGCTGTCGAAACAAATAAAAGCAAATCGATGTGCATATTCCATTTCTATATTGAGAGCTCCCATAAACCAAACTAATATGTGAGAGAAAGAAATTACAATAAGAATCGTAACTGTTATAACTATTCGTCGAATCATTTTTAGCTCACGTTGCGCTCGAACTTGATTATTCGAAGTTGTAACATTCTTACTAATCTGTTTAATATGCCTAACTAATCGAATATATAAATATATAATTAATGAAACTGGAATTGAAAAGCCAACAATTAGTGCATAAGCTACAAAGATAGAGAATGCAACTGGTAAGTGGCAGATTTGGTCATTAACATCGTAAATGATTGCACCAGGATATAAAAAAGGAGTAGGAACTAATAAACAAAATATCCAGAATAAACAAATAAATAAAATTTGGATACGCAATGATTGCCAAAACAATCGAGTTGGATAAACAGCAAGAATATGTCGATATAAAGCTTCCAAAAAAAATGAATAATTGAAAGCCCAATATGAGCCATATGTCATATAAGCTCGAAAAACACAAAGTGAATCTTCATATTCAACTTGTTTCAGATCATTTTGAAGTGTAAATAAAACCATACCAAGTCTAGCACACGCACATATACATGTCCATATACATGTATTAGCCACAAGCATCATGGGAGTTGTATGACATATTTTATCTAGTACGATAATAAGTATGAAAACAATACTAAGTATAATAGTCGATACAGTGAATAAGATAAGGCAAATATTAATGAGTATAAACCATGATTGAATGGGTATTACTATGGTGTTATTACAAAATAAATACGATTGATTATATTCAGTTGAATTCATTTTTGAAACAGAAGTTTTTAAAATAAAGAGGAAGACAGTTTTGAAATCGTTATATATGAAAAAAGGCTTCTAATGAGCATCTGCTGACTTTTTTCTTCTGTGTCAAAAGCATTTCCTTCTTTTTCAAGATGAATACATGCCAAGAAACAAAGAAGAAATATACCTCAAGCAGTTGTCAAAACGAGAGAGATAATGAACTCTTCTTGGATAATCTCAAAAGAAAAGCATGCTTTTTGGGTCAGAGTATATACTTTACATGACAATTTAAATTCTGTTTCGAGTTAATATGCATAAAGAAATCTGTTAGTTATTTATTTCTTCACCAGTAAAACATAGAAACAATAGAGACATAGGTAAAAAATACATTTCACTTCTCCTGTAGTCACATATACCCTTAAGTTTAATACGATATATATACAAGGTGTATTATTTAAAGAAAGGATTAAAATGAGTTAATCAGAATGGACTTTTATGCATTAACCAAGACAATCCATTTCGTTAATTCTAGGAATATCTTTACTATTGAAACCACCAGACGAATCGAACTTGAATTGATATGATAATAATTCATCTCTAACAAACACCACAGTTGTAAACTATTGACAGAAAATTCTTCCATTATTGTAATGAATATAAATAGCTACACAAGATAAGAACAGAAAGAGTTCATAAGTGCAAGTATTATTATCATTTTTTGCCATATTGGTATCAAATCCAAATGAATCTAATTGAAATGTTCGATGATAATTAAATTGATGGTGACAATGTAAAACTTTGATCGATTTCGAAGCACGTTCTTTCCAATTTTCTTTCAATTTGAAAGAAAACCTTTCGATGTTCATCATATTTTCAAACCTTATCAAGTTTTAGAAAATGTTCTCGGTTTTTCTTTAGCTTGTGATAAAAGTTCTCATAAACATACTGGCATTTGAAAGAAAGATTTTGTTTTTTTCTTTAATTTGAAAATTCTCAAAAGTATCTCTAAGGACGAGGGAGGATTAGCAATGCAAAATAGACTACAGAGACTTTGCTCCAAATTGGTCGATAATCTGCTTCTGGAAGATAAAGGGAGCTTTTTAGAAGCGAACTTAGTGAGAATTATGTACATTGAACGTCACTTTCACGTGATGATTTTGTGATCCATTAAGGTAGACCTTTTATTAGCCTTAATTACCTTCCTTCTTACTCTTAACAGTTCAATATTTGAGAACATTTATTGGCAAGAAAAAGAGCGGGACATTCTGCATCGTTTTGAGTATAGCTCATTCGTTTTTTAGGGATTTTTCCGACAATCATGATCCCAGTCTTGCATTAACGTAAGCACCGTGTCAGTTTATCGTAGACAGTACCATTTGGATCCTTTTCTCTTGCAAGCACATGTCTCCAATATATCATTCGATGGAGCAAAGCAAGTGTTACAAACTAGTGTATAAATCATTTCATTCCCGGGTTGGTTCGTACAGTACGTGTCGCCCACAATCGTTTTGAACAGACACAACCGTGTTTTTCATATACGCAAACAGTTTGTCGCTCAGAACGAGTGTCATATTCGGATTCAACACAAAAAGAATGAGTTGATCTATGTAGTTTTCAAAGTCACCTGAAATATATACGTAATCTACGTAATTGTTTCTGAATTTGTTTTTACGAAGCTTATTCAACTCCTCAAGATATATTACGAATGAATTTCGGATAAACTCACCGTGGCCCATTGCGCATTGCTTATCCGCCTCCTTCTTTATGTTTTAATTCACAATCATTATCAATTAAAATTTGTTTTATTCTTGCAATAATTACATTTCTTATTCGTTTAATATATAGTACTTGTTCATTAACAACATTTCAAAAATAAAATATCGACAAAAAAACTGGCTATGGAATATATTTATAGGCATACTCAATAACTTCACTTTTAACAATAACAACATTAACAATGAAATTTTGGTTTATTGCTCTAAACGAAATGAAAATTTCTATTAACCAATCTATGTATTGAATATATTGTATATCTATTCAAACTTTAAAAATAACATATATCAATATAATAGTGTAATTGTTCGACGAAAAAAAGCGTAGCATTTCGTAGTTACACATCGAAGTATATAGTTTTTATTTTCATAAAGCAATTTCAAATATTCTTTAAAAATCATATTGAGTTGCAATATTTTTCAGTACTAAACGCTCAATTACACATCCTTAATTTGTCTTCTTTGCCCAAAGTTATAATTTATTTTATGATATATCTTTTTAATGAAAAAAAGAAATGTTAGATACTAAAACTGATGTATTATGTGATAATACGATGCTATTAGCTGTTTTTATTAATTTATGAGCAAAAGATATAAAAAAAAGGATGTACGTGGAATTATTTTTTGTCAGTTGAATTTTTGCTTTTTAAAAAAATCAATGTTGAATAATACTGAATCAGTAAATCAATTGAATATGGTAACAAGTACAGGTATATTGATGATATCATTATTTAATTTTTTCCCTGGCACTATTGGTCTTATATTGAATATATTAGTTTTCACTCGACCGATACTTAAGAATGAAACATGTTCATTATATTTTCTTGTCTCAACATTATTTTATTTATTTATTCTATTTATTATTTTACCTGTACGCATTGTTTCTAATAGTTTGAATCTTGATCTTGCTCATTATAATCTTATTATATGTAAATTAGAATTTTATTCATTTCATGTTGTACGTGCAACATCAATTTGGTTAATTGTATTACCCTGTATTGATAGATATTTTCATAGTTCATTCAATGTTAAATTACGTCGGTGGAGTTCTTTACAGTTAGCTCGATTATCTATATGCATTATTATTTTGTTAATGATGATATTATATAGTCCTATAATAGTTTATTTTGAAATAGCTAATGTCATTGATCAGTCTGGTCAAATGACTCCGATATGCAATGCAAGAAAGGGTATGTATCGTAGTTTTCATGCCTCTTGGCATATGGCTATTCATTCATTATGTCCATGCTTTCTAATGCTTGTATTTGGTATTCTAACAGTAAAGAATATTCGACAAAATCGTCGAATATCACCATTGTTGACTAGAATTAATCGGCATATTGAACGTCATCGACGTACAGATCGACAACTACTACGTATGTTAGCTGTTCAAGTTCTTGTTATTATAATTTCTACCATCCCATCTTCTATTGTTCGGTTATATTCATCATTTACAGAGAGTATCATGAAGGACGCATTTAGAATTGCTCAAGAAAATTTAAGTGCGCAAATAGCAAATTCATTATCATACTTTGCTTATTCAAGCAGTTTCTATTTATATACATTAACGGGGAGTTTCTTTCGAAAAGAACTTATTAAAACTATTACTTATTGTTTAAATTATCGCCAGCGTTGAAATCAAATATCATTGGAAGGAATCAATCAATAAAGCGTTCTAACACAGCTACACATACTATATTATATTAACACTACTTTCATTATAAATGTCAATTTGGATCAGCTGATGAACAATTGTGTAAATCGTAAATTTATTCAAACAAAAATCAATGTAATTCTGGAAATTGAATAGATCATTTTGCGCCCGATAAACCAATTCATTGCTGATTACATTTTCAAGGTTAAGGACATTTACTCACTTGATGGGAAAAATAGTTCCGACGTAAATGTATAATATTTCATCCCTAAAAAGAAACAATGTGAATAATAATAGAGAAGACGTATTTTCATTATGTTCGAATGCATTCATAATATTTTGACTTTATTGCGCGATTTCCAACCACGATCGATAAATTATCAGAGGAAATTTATGATGTAAAACGAATTTTCAAAATTTTACTCGAAATATCTGTAGATTAGATTTTTCTGTCATGAAATTTGTATATTTCAAATATGTTTGTGATTGAATATTTCTTCTCTTATAATAAAATTGACAGCATACGACGAGATAAAAAGAAACTTAAGTGTAAATAACTTTCACAGAAATCTCTCACACGGTACTGGACGACAAGCATTTTAAATGAAAGACACAAAATTATAAAAAGCCATGGATAAACTAGACAACGAAAGTTAAACGAGTTTGAATGTAGAATTAAACAAGAGTCGAAGTGTAAAGGAAAGTTTGAGAAGCGTAAATTAATTTTTTGATGGCTGGTACATATCGATAAGATTCACAATTATTTGTAATTGTTGAATAAAATTTCTTCAATGGATCAATGCAATTTTTTCTGGAAAATTTATTAGAAAAGTGAATGCATTGAAAGGAAATATATTATTATTGATGGAATTGTGAAATATTTAAGTGCAATTCTTATTTTCTAAATAATTACGTTTAAAAAGAGATAAATATATTACTCGTTCTGTTCATGATAGTTTCCACTTAAAATACTTTATCAAATTAAATGAATGATTCATCTGTTTCTACATCATCCTAGATTCCTTCTCGAAAATGTTGCACTTATTGATTTTTCTCTTGATATTGTTTTGTTTCTATAGATGAAGTTGGAACTTTTTATAATAAAAAAATACACGTGGATCCTTTTGTCAAAATAAACATATGAAGAGGTGAGTTTTGACCGCTTTTCTCAATAGAAAAAGAAATAAATAAAATGGATATCTCAAGCTAGAATATCGATGAAGTTATAAATTGGTTGAATGAGTATGGATTGAGCATGTATTTTGATGCTTTTGAAAGTAAAAAGAATTCTTCATTATTCAGAAATTTGATTCTGAATTCTTGTAATTATTTCCTCGACTGAAAGGAGGGTCATATGAAAAAAAGAAACCTTTAGAAAATCCTCAGAACTTCATAAAACATGGTTTCGGAAGGGATTTTGAAGGTCGAGGTTGGTTGAGTGGGATTAAATCAAAAGAACACTGAACCATTGGGCCAGAGATGAAAGAGGGATTCATGCCCTGTCTGCAGAGAGGGTGATACAAAAAATGACGGATTGAATAGAGGTGGGATGCAATGGTATTACTTGAATGATTGATACTCAAGGAATTATGGTCAAGATTGCAGCCTGGATACGATTGTGCAAAGATTCAATGCAAAAATTCTGTACTTTCCATGATCGCCCCATACTGGAGAAGAAATTATGGATCGTATTGGTTAACCGTGAGTGGCCGACCGATTAGACGTCAGCCTGTAAGACTTCTCATGAGTGTAATGGAAAAGATTCTTGAGTCAAGACTCTTGATGTTTCAAAGATTTTCGGATAAGTCGAATAGCAAACGAAAAAGATCTCTAGCGAGAAATTGTACCGAAGGGAATCCATTGATTTGTCGGAACGAGATTTTTATTTTGAAGAGTTCATTCGGAGTATAAAACTTTTTCAGTTGAAATACCTAGTATATATATTTCATATTCTTTAGTCGAGGGTTAAACGAGTCTGCCTAGACGCGCGTTACAAGTTAGAATTTTGAAAGAGAATTCGGAGGATAAACAGTTTTTTTCCTTGGAAGATGTCATAAGAGTGCTAGCGATAAACATGGATGAATACTCTTATTCATGCACTCGTATCTTTTTCAAATAGGAAATCTAAGGACGAATTTTAACAACACAAATGGCATATTATCAATAACTTGGAAATGTATTCTCAGAGTAAATGTATTAACAAAACTGTAAATGATGATAATTGTTAGATTTTTTCATCTTGATACTCTCATAGGCATGTCTACTATTGACATTCTGAATAAAAAATTCGGAGAAATAACATTTTATTTACGGTCTAAGTCAAAGTATATAGAAAGGAAAAAATAGTTTCGTTTGAAAGCAACACGTGTTTACTGAATTGATTCTCACATATCAAAGATATAACTGAATGAAAAATATTGATTACCATAAAAATGTACAGAACCAAACAACATGTTTTTTTTTCTATTTCCTTTCAATAAATTGTGCAAAAACATGAGTAAGTGACGAGTGCATAATCGACTATTTTTCAGCTATCAAAGTTATTAAATGATAGACGGTCGTTTTGAAGAAGCAACAGTCATTGATACTAATACATTATATAAGATTACTGGGACATGTAAAGAAGGTTCCGTGGAACAATTAGTGTATGACAATAGAGTAGATTATCATTTAACTACAATAAAATGTGCATCGTATTATTATCGTGATTTCATCGTCCGTTTGATGGTGAACTTGAATTAATTGGAACTAATACTTGGTATCCTATTCTTTACTCAAACGGTTCTGTTAGGCCTCATGAATATTTTCTGAACAAGCTTCCTGTTATGTACAGATGAAAACATATCAATGTGCATTGCAATATTTTGTTCATGCATGTCATCTTTGAATAAAAACACAAATTGATTTGCATGGGTATATTGAAGATTTCAAGAATTGTATCAAATTTATAGATGAAATGATTAAGAGTTAAACGAACGAAATTTCATTTGATTTATTTATTAAATTATTCAAATTAACTGATGATGAATATTTGAAAATCGAAGTTCTTTTATTAATGAAAAAATTTCTTGGAATTTCGGTAAAAATGAACGAGAACAATGTATTGAATAGTTCAACAAAGAAGTAATTATGATTATCATACAGTAATTTATAGGACAACATTATTACATGTTTTTGTAAAACCATATCATAAACATGAAGCTTCTGATCAAATTGATTCAGTTACTAGATTGCCGTTTGTATCGATAGCGAAATTTTTATTCTCCTGTCAAACACCAATTGATGCAGTTAATCGTAATCATATCACTGCATTCTGTCTAACTGTCATGAAGTTTTCTCTGAAGTAGCATCATATCAATATTTCGCTTGTTTGGGTTCTCAAATTCGACAGGTCGAACTTGTCTCTCTTGGCTCATCGAAAAATTCTGACATGATATCTACACTTTTTTGCAGCACACTTAACCTTCGAATAAAATCCGAAGTTTCCACATTTATTTTTATGTAAAGTTACTAAGGATTGATTAATCAGGTAACAAATACATAGAATTAGACGTTCTTATGTTTTTGCTTAGCACTCTAGATCGCAAGTTTAAGTAGATTTCTTCGTGAGCATATGATACACAAATGATGTGTGAAATTTACTAGATGTCTTGTGATTTTAGATAAAAAAGTCAGTTCTTATAACTGGTGTAACAGGCTACGTTGGCATTCATTTATTATCGAGATTGGTACGTCAGAGCAATATCGATCGAATTTTTTGTGTAACAAGATATAAGGATCATAACTCGTTTTGGTCAGCTATTAAATCACAAGCAAATCAGTTCAACATTACTATGGACGTTTCGGATATTAAACCAAAGCTTGATATAGTCAATATAGATCTCGCTCAAAATCAGAATTCAATATTACCTGGACTTCAAAAGTTTAAACAATCAGTCAAAGAAGTTCATCATCTGGCTTGTGATGGAAATTATGGGCATTCATTAGAATATTTCCAACCATGGATAAATACGACCAAAGAACTAATACAGTTTTGCATGGATTCCACACATACCAAATCTCTATACGCAGTCGGAAGTTATGGACAACACATTATCGATAGTATAAATAATGATGAAGATTATTACTGGATTAATGGTTATTTCAAATACAAGAGATGGCTTTATAATTATATGCTGGAGAAAATAGACGAAGGCTTGCAAGGAATATTAATTGAACCAGGAGTTGTGGTCGGCACCATAGACCCTGGTCAAAAATATAGTTTTTGGCGCATTACTCGCATTTTTGCAGCAACAGGATATGCTTTCAATTATCCAATGGTTTTCACGCCTATGGATATGTTAATTGATAACTATATCTTGGCACAAAATCACCCTAATGAATGCCCAAAAGTTATAAGTCCACTTATACCAAAGTATTTATATGTGAATAAGGCTGTACAGAAACTGTTACCAGATTTAAAAATGATTGAGTATGAAAAGTTCAGAGTCTTAATGCAACATGTAATGCCGGATAAAGCAAAATATTTCGGACCGAATTTTCTTCGCAGTATCTATGGGCCGAAATTGATTGCAACTTTTCATCCGTTCTATGATACGACAAAATACGTCAGCAAGGACACAACAGATTACCTTTCAAGCTGTAAAAGTCTAACAGATGCTGTTGAACAAGGCTTCACGGACAGAAACAAATATATATCCGCATTGGAAAAGAAACATTATCTAGTTTAATAGTATATATTTAAGTTACTATTTGGACATTTGATGAGTCCTCCATAGTTCGATCTCAACAGACTATCGAATAAACGAATTTCTTTTTTTTTCATATTTGCCTCTCTTATGTTTTAACACGTTTGATTTCTAATATTATTTTCTGAATAAATAGAAAGAAATGTTTTTCATGCGCGAGATAAACTTGTCTCAAATTACAAACGAATTTTTTGCGACATATCGAGCAGCGTCGTTCGTTGGCTATATTTCGATCTTTGCTAGTAGAACAATCAACATCAGTTGGATCAATAATAGTAAGCTTTCGAGACGATGCTGATGATACGCGTCAGGTACACAATATTCGCTTAGTAATTGTTTGAATGTAACTTTTCTCGTTTAACGACCAACGATGTGACCATGGACAATACATTTGACTGATTGTTGAAAGTAGTAAGACGTTTTCGAAATCGTTTAAGAAGCGATTCATTAAGTTCAGGATACTACGGCTTGTTATAATCGGTAACAAGATAAAACTTACTATGATTTTGTTTTATCCATTGAGATAACTGGTATCTTAAACAGGCTTCTTTTTTTGACGTGAAGTGCTTTATTATCATTACATTTCCCAGTATATCATTTGCATATAACTTTTGTGCAGTTGACCACTGTCGGCATTTATGTTTGCATGATAGACTCTCTTATAACCGACCGAATCCGATCAGTTGAATTAAAACGGACTTAGTACCCGCCCGACATGATCCGATATACTCATTTCGACCTGGAAGAGTTTTTGCAATTCCTTTTATTTATGTGTAAATTTTGTGGCAGAGACATGATCAGTGAAAATGCTGGTATTTCTATTCTTGTAGATCTTAATGTATTTTATCGAACTATTCAAAAGATTTCATTACAGAAAGATAGTCCATCTTCTCGACAAAATCAAACAATTTTTTTCTATAAATTGGTCACAGAAATAATCCATCTACTATGACAAGGAAATCGAAATTTACGAAACATCTTTTATGTATATTGCTTGTCACAAAAGAAAAGGTACGATTTACAAAGTAAGATNTCATAAACTGAAATATATACAAAATCCTTTATTACGTTCTCTTAATCAAGAAACGCTAAGCCGAAGAACTTTAGCATTAGCTGAAAAAAATGGAAAGAATAATAGAAATCGGCGTGATTCATTAGCAGGTTGGACGAAATCAGACGCTGAATTAGTGATTCAACAAGCGAAACAAGAAAAAGATAACTATAATAATCGACTACAACAAATTCGGGCACAAAACAGTGCCGAACATACAGAATATACACGACATTTACAAAATACAGTTGGAGATAACTATCAACAGTTCAATTGGAATTATGTGAATCTTTGGTGATTGTACCTATCAGTTGTAACTTTATCGTTAATCATTTGAGTAACCCTCATATTCTTCGATGTTCACGAAATCTTTCTATTTAATTTCAATCGATCCAATTAAAATGAAGTAATATTATATGATTAATTAGTCGCTTCATCTATATGGAAAAGGTCTTTTTGTTTATCATTAATTCAATTTGCACATTTGATTTCGACTTCCTATTTCTGCTTTGTTCAATGTAATAGAAGTGAGAAATGGCCTAAATAACTTATCACTACCATGCGGAGAACATATCGTTAACAAGACTATTCATGGAACCTCCTCTGATATTTTGAACAAAACTCATCTTGATTTTACTTGTAGTTTTGAAAAGACTAATAAGCAGTGATTGGATCGGTTCAGTTTCAAATCGAAGGCAATTTTTCTTAATGTTAATTAGTAAGAGTAGCACAGAGATCTTTAGTCAGAAGAAAAAAGTGTCGTCTGCGAGGTTGAAACAGTCATATTCGTCTAATTGGAATGTCTCGTGATTAAATTATCAATAATGTTTTGTGCTTCATTTACATAGATTTGACAATTGAAATATGTAATTATTGTTATTTTCTATTTGTTCCATTGTAGAGATTTCTCTCAGAGTAAAATTTTTAAAAATTCAAATTTCCTGAAGGTCGAATAAGTTACTTAGATCAAGGGAATTTTATTTGTCACAATCGATAGAGAAATTAACAAAATAATCCTTTTTTCAACGGATTAGTTACAACTCTTTATCGCATAGAACTTCATGATTTCTTCCTATAATAAGTTCGGCAAGACTTCTAGTCTTGTTAAAATTCCAAAATTTTAGAAGGAACTCGTAATGTGCGCTATGAGTTTGAAATAATTTCAATATCTAAACTAGATGTTCCTTTCGAGCTTTTTCCTAGAGATTATACGCCTAATTTGAAAACTTTAATACTAAAACTTAACTATTTTTAAGCTTGTCTATGAAAAAGATGCAAAAAATTGGCAAAGAAACGCTTAAAAGCGTTTAAAGTATGACTACTTTTAATAAGGTTCACCTAATCGAAAGTTTAAAAGGATATTTCTAGTATTTGGAGTGAGAATAGTGTATTTTGTTTCAATACTGTTTCGCTCGATTTGCACAGTATCTGTACTTCCGACGTGCCGTTTCACATTCCTATCCAAGGAATTCTATGACTTTTTCTTTACAAGAAATGCTTGAAATATTTTAACAATAAAATTATATATTCAGAATATAAATGTTTTTCCTCTATACTTAGCAACGTGATTAACATTCTATTCCTTTCCAAATCATATACCTAACCTGCTTAGACGTCCTCTGACTATGTATTTATCGATACGAAAATGGCAGCCTAGAGAAAATCTTCTAAGGGAATACTTTTTCATTCATTTAAGTTCTTTTATTTCAGAAGGTTTAAACATATGAGATACAGCAAAGAATATTCTTCATTAATTTTAATCGTTGTTTCATCATACAAAGACTTAAGTGTATCTAAGTGAATATGTATGAAAAAGATATTTTATGTAGGATGATTACGTCTTATAATCGAAGNTTTTTTCGTCGAACAATTACAATATTACATTGATATATGCTATTTTCGAAGGAGTTCGAATAGATAAACAACATATTCGATGCAGAATAGTTAATATTGTTATCGTTAAAAGTGAAGTTACTGAGGATGCCTATAATATTTTATTTTGAAATAGCTAATGTCATTGATCAGTTTGGTCAAATGACTCCGATATGCAATGCAAGAAAGGGTATGTATCGTAGTTTTCATGCCTCTTGGCATATGGCTGTTCATTCATTATGTCCATGTTTTCTAATGCTTGTGTTTGGTATTCTAACAGTGAAGAATATTCGACAAAATCGTCGAATATCACCATTGTTGATTAGAATTAATCGGCATATTGAACGTCATCGACGTACAGATCGACAAATACTACGTATGTTAGCTGTACAAGTCCTTGTTATTATAATTTCTACCACCCCATCTTGTATTGTTCGATTATACTCGTCATTTACAGAAAGTATCATAAAGGACGCATATAGAATTGCTCAAGAAAATTTAGGTACGCAAATAGCAAATTCATTATCATTTTTTGCTTATTCAAGTAGTTTCTATTTATATACATTAACGGGAAGTTTATTTCGAAAAGAACTTATTAAAACTATTACTCATTGTTTAAATTATCGCCAACGTCGAAATCAAATATCATTGGTAGGAATCAATCAGTAAAGCGTTCTACCATAGTTACACATTCTATGTTATATTAACAGTACTTTCATTATAAATGTCAATTTAGATCAGCTGATGAACAATTGTGTAAATCGTAAATTTATTAAAATAAAAAAATCAATGTATATCTAGAAATTGAATAGATCTTTTTTCGGGTTTAAGATATTTACTCACTTGAACAATTGATGGGAAAAATAGTTCCGACGTAAATGTATAATATGTCATCCCTAAAAGGAAACAATGTGAATAATAATAGAGAAGACGTATTTTCTATATGTTCGAATGCATTCATAATATTTTGATTCTATTGTGCGATTTTCAGACACGATCGATAAATTATCAGAAGTTTATAATGTAAGACGAATCTTCAAAATTTCACTCGAAATATCTGTAGATTTGGTTTTTCTGTCATGAAATTTTGTATATTTCAAATACTTTTGTGATTAAATATTTTTTCTCTTATAACAAAATCCACAATATAAGACGAGATAAAAAGAAACTTAAGTGTAAATAACTTTCACAGAAGTTTCTCACGTGGTACTGGAAGACAAGCATTTGATATGAAAGACACAAAGTTATAAAAAGCCATGGATAAACTGGACGACGAAAGTCAAACGAGTTTGAATGTAGAATTAAACAAGAGTCGAAATGTAAAGGAAAGTTTGAGAAGCGTAAATTAATTTTTTTTAAGGCTGGTACATATCGATAAGATGTACAATTATTTGTAATTGTTGGATGGAATTTGTTCAATGGATCAATGCGATTTTTTTTCGGAAATTTATTAGAAAAGTGAATGGATTGAATGGAAATATATTATTATTGATGAAATTAGGAAATATTTAAGTGCAATTCTTATTTTCTAGATAATTACGTATAAAAATGATAAATAGATTACTAGTTCTGTTCATGATAGTTTCCACTTAAAATGTTTTATGAAATGAAATGAATGATTTATCTGTTTCTACGTTATCCTAGATTTCTTCTCGAAAATGTTGCACTTATTGATCTTTGTCTCGATTTTGTTTTATTTCTATAGGCAAAGTTGGATTTTTTTAAATAAAAAAAAACACGTGGATTATTTCTCAAAATAAATATATGAAAAGGTAAGTTTTGACTGCTTTTCTCAGTAGAAAAAGAAATAAATAAAATGGATATCTCAAGTTAGAATACCAATGAAGTTATAAATTGGTTGAATGAATATGGATTGAGTATGTATTTTGATGTTTTTATCAGTAAAAAGAACTCTTCATTATTCAGAAATTTGATTCTGAATTCTTCTTATTATTTCCTCGACTGAAAGCAGGATCATATGAAACAAAGACACCTTTAGAAAATCCTCAAAACTTCATAAAACATGGTTTGGAAGAGATTTTGAAGGTCGAGGTTGGTTGAGTGGGATTAGGCCAAAAGAACACTGAACCAGTGGGGGCGACAAAGGTGTGCTTGAACGGTCTGACCTCATCTTAACGGAAAATTCGGATGCCGCCTCTACGGTGAACCATAGGGCCAGAGGTGAAAGTAAGATTCTTTTCCTGTCTGCGGAGAGGGTGATACGAAAAACGATGGATTGAATAGAGGTGGGATGCGATGGTACTACTTGAATGATTGATACTCAAGGAATTATGGCTAATATTGCAGCCTGGATACGAATGTGCAAAGACTCAATACAAAAATTCTGTACTTTCCATGATCGCTCAATTATGCAGCAAGTCTAGAAACTCGAGTCATCATCGGGAAATTTCTTCATCTCAGTTAAAAATGCAATTGAATATATTGAGTGTACTAGAGAAGAAATTATAGATCGTAACGGTTAACCGTGAGTGGCCGACCGATTAGATGTCAGCCTGTAAGACTTCTCGTGAGTGTAATGAACGGGTAAATCCAATAACAAGCGAAAAAAAATTTCTAGCAAGAAATTGTATCGAATGAAACCCATTGATTTGTCCGAAAGAATTTTTTATTTTAAAAAGTTCATTCGCAGTATAAAACTTTTTCAGTTGAAATACCTGGTATATATATTTAATATTCTGCAGTCGATGGTTAAGCTAGTCTGCCTCAATGCGCGTTATTAGTTAGAATTTTGAAAAAGAATTTGGAGGATTAATAGATTTTAATCTTTTCACATCTATTTTGAATTTCTTATAATTTCGTAATGCAGATTTCTCACTACTTCATAAGCGATTCTTTGAACAGCAGTCGAAATTCGGACCGTGGTAGTTTTGTTCAAACTCACATCCTCACCCGCGTATTATATCATGCAGCAGACGCTGAAGACAAGCTTTCGGATGGAGGGTCATTATCATCGTTATATGGTAATTCTCAATAGTATAATATGCATTTTTATACATTTCCATTCGTCAGAAAATTTGTTAGTATTCGGTGTTTTTCAACATATTTCTCGTTCCAACTATTGGTCTAAGTAATCGATGTAAATGGAACAAGTTGAGAACGATATTTTCAAAGTACAACTACATGGGAGTGTAATATCATATATTTGAGAGTTAATTTCGCCTATTCAAGATAAATATAGTTTAGATGAACATATAACATAAAATAGTGAAACAAATCGATGGAAACAGTTGTTTTCCTTGGAAGTTGTCATAAGAGTACCAGCGATAAAAATGGATGGATACTCTTATCCATGCACTCGTATCTTTTTGAAATCGGAAATCTAAGGACGAATTTTAACAAGGCAAACGGCATATTCTCAGAGTAAATGTATTAACAAAACTGTAAATGATGATAATTGTTAGATTTTTTCATCGGAATGCCCTCATGGGCATGTCTACTATTGACATTCTGCATACAAAATTCGGAGAAATAACATTTTATTTTCGGTATAAGTCAAAGTATATCGAAAGGAAGAAAAGTTTTTGTTTGAAAGCAACACGTGTTTATTGAATTGATTCTCATGTATCAAAGATATAACTGAATGAAAAACATTGATTACCATAAAAACATACAGGACCAAACAACATGTTTTTTTTCTACTTCCTTTCAATAAATTGTGCAATAACATGAGTAAGTGATAAGTGCATAATCAATGATTTTTCAATTAACAAAGTTATTAAATGATAGATGGTCGTTTTGAAGAAGCAACAGCCATTGATACTAATACACTATGTAAGATTACTGCGACATGTAAAGAAGGTTCCATAGAACAGATTATCATTTAACTACAGCGAGGTTTGCATCGTATTATTATTGTGATTTCATCGCCCGTTTGATGGTGAACTTGAATTGATTGGAGCTAATACTTGGTATCCTATTTTCTACTCAAAGGGTTCTGTCAGGCCTCATGAATATTTACTGAACAAGCTTCCTTGGAATCTGGGTAAAAATGAACGAGAACAACAACGAGCAATGTATTGAATAGTTCAACAAAGAAGTAATTATGATTATCGCACAGAAATTGATAGGACAACATTATTACATGTTTCTGTCATACCATATCATAAACATGAAGCTTCTGATCAAATCGATTCAGTTACTAGATTGCTGTTTGTATCGATAGTGAAATTTTTATTATCATGTCAAACACCAATTGATGCAGTTAATCGTAATCATTTCACCGCATTCTGTCTAACTGCCATGAAGTTTTCTCTGAAGTAGCATCATATCAACATTTCGCTTGTTTGGGTTCTCAAATTCGACAGGTCGAACTTGTCTTTCTTGGCTCATTGAAAAATTCTGACATGATATCTACACTTTTTTTGTAGCCCACCTAACCTTCGAATAAAATCCGAAGTTTACGCATTTATTTTTATCTAAAGTTACTAAGGATTGATTAATCAAATAACAAATACATAGAATTAGGCGTTCTTACGTTTTTGCTTAGCACTCTAGATCGCAAGTTTTGAGCAGATTTCTTCTTGTGCATATGATACACAAATAATGTGTGAAATTTACTAGATGCCTTGTGATTTTAGATGAAAAAATCAGTTCTTATAACTGGTGTAACAGGCTACGTTGGTATTCATTTATTATCGAGATTGGTACGTCAGAACAATATCGATCGAATTTTTTGTGTAACAAGATATAAGGATCATGACTCGTTTTGGTCAGCTATTAAATCACAAGCAAATGAGTTCAACATCACTATGGATGTTTCGGATATTACACCAAAGCTTGATATAGTCAATATAGATCTCGCACAAAATCATAATTCAATATTACCTGCACTTCAAAAGTTTAAACAATCAGTCAAAGAAGTTCATCATCTAGCTTGTGATGGAAATTATGGGCATTCATTAGAATATTTCCAACCATGGATAAATACGACGAAAGAACTAATACAGTTTTGCATGGATTCCACACATCCCAAATCTCTATATGCAGTCGGAAGTTATGGACAACATATTACCGATAGTATAAATAATGATGAAGATTATTACTGGATTAATGGTTATTTCAAATACAAGAGATGGCTTTATAATTATATGCTGGAGAAAATAGACGAAGGCTTGCAAGGAATATTAATTGAACCAGGAGTTGTGGTCGGCACCATAGACCCTGGTCAAAAATATAGTTTTTGGCGCATTACTCGCATTTTTGCAGCAACAGGATATGCCTTCAATTATCCAATGGTTTTTACGCCTATGGATATGCTAATTGATAATTATATCTTGGCACAAAATCACCCTAATGAGAGTCCAAAAGTTATAAGTCCAGTTATACCAAAGTATTTATATGTGAATAAGACTGTACAGAAATTATTACCAGATTTAAAAATGATTGAATATGAAAAGTTCAGAGCCTTAATGCAACATGTAATGCCAGATAAAGCAAAATATTTCGGTCCGAACTTTCTTCGCAGTATTTATGGGCCGAAACTGATTGCAACTTTTCATCCGTTCTATGATACGACAAAATACGTCAGCAAGGACACCACAGATTACCTTTCAAGCTGTAAAAGTCTAACAGATGCTGTTGAAAAAGGCTTGAAGGACAGAAACAAATATATATCCGCACTGGAAAAAAACATTATCTAGTTTAATAGTATATATTAAAGTTACTATTTGGACATTTGATAAGTCCTCCATAGTTCGATCTTAACAGACTATCGAATCAACGAATTCCTTTTTTTTTCATATTTGCCTCTCTTATGTTTTTCATGCACGAGATAAACTTGTCTCAAATTACAAACGAATTTTTTGCCACATATCGAGCAGCGTCGTCTGTTGGCTATATTTGGATCTTTGCTAGTAGAATAATCAACATCAGTTGGATAAATAATAGTAAGCGTGCGGGACGATGCGGATGACACGCGTCAAGTCCACAATATTCGCTCAGTAATCGTTTGAATGTAACTTTTCTCGTTTAACGACCAACGATTTGACCATGGTCAATACATTTGACTGATTGTTGAATGTAGTAAGACGTTCTCGAAACCATTTGAGAAGCGATTTATTAAGTTCAGGATACTGCGGCTTGTTATAATCGGTAAGAAGATAAAACTTACCATGATTTTGTTTTATCCATTGAGATAACTGGTATCTTGAATAGCCTTCTTTTTTTTGACATGAACTGCTTATCATCATCATCATATTTTCCCAGTATATCAATTGCATGTAACTTCTGTGCAGTTGACCACTGTTGGCATTTACGTTTCCATGATAGACTCTCTTATAACCGGCCAAATCCGATCAGTTTGATTAAAACGGACTTAGTACCCGCCCGACAAGATCTGATGTGCTCATTTCGACCTGGAAGAGTTTTTGCAATTCTTTTTATTTATGTGTAAATTTTTTGACAGAAACATGATTAGTGAAAATGCCGGTATTTCTATTCGTGCAAAACTTAATGAATTTTATCGAACTATTCAAAAGATCTCATCACAGAAAGATAGTCCATCTTCTCGACAAAATCAAATAATGTTTTTAATATAAATTGGTCATAGAAATAATCCATCTATGGCAAGGAAATCGAAATTTATGAAACATGTTCTATGTATATTACTTGTCACAGAAGAAAAGATACGATTTACAAAGTAAGATGCATAAAAATATCCTCTTTTGCTTTTAAAACATGTGTGAGTAGTACATATTATGTTTACGTTCTGCTGCAGTGCACACAAAATATGATATAATATAATAACATACATAATATGTACATATTTAAATAATATATTTCTCTTTTTTAAAACGAAAAATGGCGACTATATGTACTTCGTGTGGTATATCGATTCCATCTTCATTGAATATTTATAAATGTCGTCAATGCATTAATCATTTCGTATGTCAAGTATGTGTGGCAAAAGATCACCATAGAGCAGGCGCTGCTCTTCATACATTCGATGAAGTATTTTTAAAAGATATTCAATCAATAAATGATGTTAACACTCATACATCGTCAGAATTTGCTGATTTTTCATCACAGCGCCAAATAAAAGTAAATTTCATGAAAACAGGAAACAAAATCTTTTTCAATACTTTGAATGTGTTGATCGTTAATTTTAGACACTGTCAAACTCGTTATCAATATTTTATAATGAAGGATACTTGTACAGTTTATTAGGTTATTGTTATCACTGTTATAGTATTATTGTTGCTGATAAAGAACCAACTTTTCAATGTCAACAGTGTCCAAATTTTTTCGAAGTCTGTATTCAATGTATAATTTTGATGGACACGCAACATTCTTCTACACATACATTCTTAAAACAATCTCTTAGTTACTGGAAAAACATAGCACATAATATGTATCATCTCGATATTATCTGTGATGGTTGCTCAAGGATAGGATTTAATGGAAAACGTTATCAATGTGAAGAATGCTCACCAAATTATGATCTTTGTGAAAATTGTTTTGGAAAAGTACATACACATCATAAACTGAAATATATACAAAATCCTTTATTACATTCTCTTAATCAAGAAACGCTAAGCCGAAGAACTTTAGCATTAGCTGAAAGAAATGGAAAGAATAATAGAAATCGGCGTGATTCGTTAACAGGTTGGACGAAATCGGACGCTGAATTAGTTATTCAACAAGCGAAACAAGAAAAAGATAACTATAATAATCGACTACAACGGATTCGGGCACAAAACAGTGCCGATCATACAGAATATACACGACATTTACAAAATACAGTTGCAGATAACTATCAACAGTTCAATTGGAATTATATGAGTCTTTGGTGATTATACCTATCAGTTGTAACTTTATCTTTAATCATTTGAGTAACCGTCATATTCTTCGATGTTATACATTTCGGATTCAGTTTTGTTCTAGGAATGCTGCAGTATACAATTTTATGAAACTGTCTTTCAAAAAATGAATAGGAGAAATCAAATCATGAAATCTTTCTATTTAATTTCAATTGATCTAATTAAAATGAAGTCAAATTATTTCCACTTCTTTTTTTTCATTAAGAACCTTCTGGAATGAAAGTTTAAGATGAATAAAACATCGAATAAATAAAATGGTCATTTGTTTATTCGCAAATACTCAGTCCTAATCTTTAAAAAAATTGCACTCAAATCGAATTATTTCAAATGTAAAATTATTCGAAAGAATCTATAAAAATGAAGTCATATTATACAATTAATTAGTCGCTTTATCTGTATGGAAAAGGTCTTTTGGTTTCGACTTGTTACTTCTGTTTTGTTCAATGTAATACAAGTGAGAAATGGTCTAAATAATTTATCACTATCATGCGAGAACATATCATTACCATGACTATTCATGGAGACTTTTCTGATACTTTGAACAAAACTCATCTTAATTTTACTTGTAGTTTTGAAAATACTAATAAGCAGTGATTGGATCGGTTCGGTTTCAAATCGAAGACAATTTTTCTTAACGCTAATTAATAAGAGTAGCACAGAGATCTATAGTCAGAACAAAAAAGTGTCGTCTGATAGGTTGAAACAGTGATATTCGACTAATTGGAATGTCTAGTGATTAAATTGCACATAATGTGAAAGTGGTAAATTAATAATAATGTTTTATGTTTCATTTATATAAATTTGATAATTGAGATATGTAATTATTGTTATTTTCTATTTGTTCCATTTTCGAGATTTCTCTTAGTGTAAAATTTTTAAAAAATTCAAATTTTCTGAAGGTCGAATTAGCTACTTTGATCAAGGGAATTTTATTTATCACAATCGGTAGAGAAATTAACAAAAGAATCCTTTTCTCAACGGACTAGTTACAATTCTTTGTCGCATAGAATTTTATAATTTTTCTCCTATAAGAAGTTCGAGAAGACTTCTAATCTTGTAAAAATTCCAAAATTTTAGAAGGAACTCGTAATGTGCACTATGAGTTTGAAATAATTTCAATATCTAAACTAAATGTTCCTTTCGAGTTTTTTCCAGGAGATTATAAGCCTAGTTTCAAAATTCTAATACTAAAACTTAACTGTTTTTAAACTCGTTTATGAAAAAGATGCAAAAAAATTAGCAAAGAAACGTTTAAAAGCATTTAAAATATGACTACTTTTAATAAGGTTCACCTAATCGAAAGTTTAAAGGGAAATTTCTAGCATTTCGAGTGAGAATAGTATATTTTGCTTCAATACTGTTCGGTTCGATATGCATAGTATGTGTACTTCCGACGTGCCTTTTTCACATTTCTATCGAAGAAGCTTTATGACCTTTTCTTTATAAGAAATACTTGAATTATTTTAACAATAAAATTATATATTCAGAATATAGATGTTTTTCCTCTATACTTAGCAACATGATTGACATTTTATTCCTTTTCAAATCGTATATCTAAACTGCTTAGCTATCCTCTGATTATGTATTTATCGATATGGAAATGATAGTCTAGAAAAACAGCTTCTGAGAGAATACTTTTTCACTCGCGTAAATTCTTTTATTTCAGAGGAAGGTTTAAACATGTGAGATACAGCAAAGAATATTCTTCATCAATCTTAATCACTGTTTCATCATACAAAGAGTTAAGTGTTTCTAAGGGAATATGTATGAAAAAGATATTTTATGTAGGATGATTGAGTCTTATAATCGAAGTCGTTGCCTATCTTACAAGAGAATCTGTATCAATTCGATTATGAGCGATGGAAAAATAGTTTGCCATGTTTTGTCTGAGTTAAGTATTTTTCGAAAAATCGAATTAAATCTCTTTGTTAAACATGAAACACACACCTCTAGATAACACGTTAGTTCATTTTGTGCATTTAAGTGAAATGATAAAGGTATTTTAGACAACAACGGACGGTGTGAAAATTTAGTTTTGCAAGAACTCTTTCGTCATCTGTTACTATGGAGAGAATATTAATCTGAATTTTGATAATCTTTTCTATTATTCAAGGATTTAAATGTCAGATCATGTAAAGAAGATTTTTCATCAATTTTATTATTTCTTTCAAACTTACAGATAAGTTTGTCCAAGAGAAGATCAAGAAGTTCGGGTGAGATAGAAAACATGTTTTACGAAGATGAATTATGTTGACTCGAGCAATACAACCAGTTTTAGAATGAGCAGTGTTTGGTATAGAATAGTTCGTTTGTTAAGAATAGAGATTGAACATGTGACTAAATGGTGAACTTCGACATTTTTGAAAAAGATGAATTGTCGAGAAGAGATCACCGGTGAAATCTAAAGAGTTCAAACGAAACTAGTTTCTGATTATTATTTAATTCGTTAATAGACGATTTTTATTGACAAGCTGTGTATGTAATTCTTAATTCTCCACTGTATTGTTCTAGAACTATTCTAATTTCATATCATGTCGGATTCAATAAACAATATAATTACAACTCTAAATGCAGGCACTATTTGGATAAATCGTGTGGTGACGGCCGTTCAAATTGCTTTTGGCACATTTGGAAATATAATGAATATCATTATATTTACTCGTCCTACTCTACGTACTAATCCATGCGCATTCTACTTTTTGGCAGGTTCCGTGAATAATCTCTGTGTTCTCTATATATATTTGCTTGCACGTGCTCTTACAGCTATTTGGAATATAGATGTATCGCGTTTTTAAATAATACGTTATGTAAACTATTTAACTTTTTCATATTTCCTGTCATGGAACTCATGCTATGGTTTGTTGTATTAGCCAGTATTGATCGCTTTTTATGTAGCTGTAAGAGTGTGCGCCTTCGTCAACTAAGTAGTTTATCAATAGCTCGAAAAGTAGTTGCGGCCGTTGTCTTATTCATGTGTCTAATTCATGTGCACATATTTTATTTCTTTGAGGTTACCAATTCAGGTTGTATTTATCCTACAGGTGCATACAGTGCTTTTATTTTCATTTTCATTGTAATGCTGGGCGTTATTATTCCAATTGTCTTATTGATTGTGTTTGATATTTTGACACTTCACAATGCTTATAAGATTCGTCGTCGAGTTGGTCCACTGAACAACAATCTACGAATTGAACGGCTGCGTTCAAACGATCGTCAAATGCTTGTAATGCTTTTATTTCAACTGGCCATCTGCCTTCTACTCTCTATTCCTTCTGCTGCTCTCGATCTATACGACGTATTCCTTGCATTAGTTTTAAATAACGCACTTCAGCCATATGGGCAGGCTATCTTCATTTTTTCATTGAACTTTTTCAGGATACTCTATTGTTGCAATTCTGTTATTGGATTTTATACTTATACATTGATGGGACCTAATTTTCGTAAGGAATTTAAACGTTGTACTCGACACGGATTAAGAATCATTTTGACAACAACTAAGCTTATGGAATGTCTACCATTGAGTATTCAATAAGTATTGCTCAATGGAAACGAAATAGGTCCGAATAATCGAGTTACTGCTCGTACTGAAGAAGGACATATTTTGGCACGGCGTATTTAACAGCAATTGCCATCAGCCATCATGAGACTGCTCTGTAGATATACGAACTAAAACTTCTTCTTTTCATACAAACGTAGGCAGGTGCTGTTCTCTCTAACTCATTATTAGTCTTTGAAATGTTTCCCTTTACATGCAAACTATGTGCAATGATTAGTCTCACGAAAACATTACACAATTACTAGTCGTCTACTATTTTTTGTTGTTGCAGAAGTTTTAGATAAATTAAAAAGAATTAAGACCACATCTTACTTGCAAGGAAGCACGATCCTAAGTGTCCAGTCTGTTTTCAACCAATATTTTGACCATCGGCAAAGGACTATAAGAGTAAAATAATTCTAAAATGATGTAAATCAGTAGACTTTTGGAGCTGATTTATGGACTTTTCATTGCGTTTTCGAGCTTAAATTTTCCTCATAGACCGTTCTATTCATAACTGGAATGTTCTGAAAATTTCATTCGGAAAATGTGTTCTCTTGTGAAGATATTAGATCATAGGAAATTCTCGCATAGCACAGAGAAGATGAAAAATGCCAGTTTACTTGAAAATATAATATTTCAACAAGGGTACGCATTTCCGGCTGGAATGTTCAGAATATTCCATTTATGAATAGATCAATCGATAAGGAAAACACCAGTCTGTCACAGTCGAGGGTTAAGTGAGTCAGCACGACCAGCGTTACTTGTATTTAACGACTTACAAAAATACCTAACAAGTAGTGCTGATCTTTTTCTAAAAGAATTATCACATAAATCGAGATAGTCAAATACTAAAAATAATAAAATTCCCGCAGCAATGTCTCTGCACTTTTTCGCATAAAGACTTTTCTCAAATGAAATTCAGTAGCTCTACTGCATATTTGTCAGATAATTAATTTCTTAAGTATTCTAAAAAGCTATTTTAAGTTTCTCCATAACTATAAAAAGTGACGTATCTCAATTGCTACCGACCTTCCGCTGTAAGCATTTGAGCAGGTTAGCTACCACTATGGAGTCATATAACAGTCTGCATTAGTTGCCGAATTGAATCACTTTGTTCTCACTCATTTTAGTTGCTCTAAGCCTTTCAAATAAACACCTAGCAGTCCATTGAATTACAAAGAAGAGATATTATTTTATAAACCACAAGAATCAGAACATATTCAGAATGCTCCTTATATACGTTTGATATCTCTTAAGGTACAATAGTAAAATTACAATCATGTACTCCGTTTTTATTCACATATTTTTGCTCAAAATTCTATCAGAAAATCTCACCTGTAGTAGTCGACTATCCAAAAAACGTTTAATAAAAACGAATATCTAGCTAGCATGTCTTCTTCTTATTACTTGAACTAAAGTTTATACTGAAAACGCATAAATGCCTGTAATGGAACGCATTAAAACATCGAAATTTGTGTGATTCATTGCCTTTCATTAAGTTTTGAACATGATATAGACTCTGAGGTTTCTTTTGTGAAAAACAAAAGACTCAAGCAATATCCACCACAAACAATTCACGTTAGATTCATATTCGGTCTATTCTGGACACGTCTTGGTCAAATTTCAAAAGAAAATTCGAAAATAAACTTAATTTCCAGAAAGAGAGTGGGTGTGCAAAAAGACCACAAATTAGCTTACGAAAAAAAGCTAACATTATGGTGCCTGTTCCTCGACCCCGAAATATCTTCGCTCAGCTATTATTCAAAAAAGTTGTTTTTCTAACAAAGTGGCCTATTGTCTAAAAAGCAGAACGGAAATTTATGATGAAAAGCTGAAATCAGGTTTTTGCTCCTCGACCTTGAAAAACTAACGTCAGACTAATGATCATCAACCCCAGAAATCTTCTGGTCAATTCTTACTCCACACTATTACAATTAATTAATTAGTTTTTGTAAAAATTATACTATTTTTGATTCTCACAACTCTATTGGGTGACATAAACAGACCTATGAAAGATAAGACTGAAGATGTATTTCGCTGATATAATAGTAATTAGCATGTGTCTCAGCTATAGCTCCTTAGAAAATGACAAGTAAGATATAAAATCGATAGTATTAATCAAGATCTATCTAGAACGAATGTTTGTTTCATTGAAAAAGTCTATAAAAGCTTTAAAAAAATAAAAACGCATTTCTGCAACACTTTTGGGCAAGAAGGGGGTCTGATAAAAAAAGTGTTCTGTTACAAAATTTCCGAAACTCTGTGGCCTAATCTCATTTTATGAATGGCAACCAAAATAAAACTATTGGTCTTCCTACAGGAAAACATTTCATGTCAATTATAATTACATACAGGTGAAAGAAAGTTTCTGAATTTGAATATTCATGAATGTAATAAGTTTATAATTCATGAAACTCACGACATATTAACAATTCATTCATTTGAAAGGATTATCTTTTCAAAAAAATTCCATTTTGATCATGATAATGTCAACTGTAATTATATTGAGCAATTCACTAGAGTGATAGATAAAATTTCAGGTATAAATATTGTTGATGTTAGTACATTCATACTTCAAAAAAGAAAATGTTGATGATAAATGATACATTCGTCAATGATGATGAAAATTCATTATCAATGTCACGATTCCCTCGTCAAATTCGATATTGGTCCTATCTAGTGTCTAATATATTCTCATTAATATGTACACTATTAACTCTTTATTTTCTTTTATTCGATCGAACATTACGAAATAGTCTCAATAATCATATTATTATAATTCTTCTTTTGATTGGTTTACTCTATGAATTCATCGATATTCTATTAATAATTAACAATGATGCAAATGATATTCCATGGTCATCATCACCAACGTTTTATTTATTTTGGGTATTTTTTGATTATACATTTTATTCTCTTCAAATTGGATTATTTGCATGGGCAACTATCGAAAGGCATATTCTCATATTTCATGATCAATGGATATCAACACGAAATAAACGTTTGTTCATTCATTATTTTCCAATAGGTGGATTAATAGTATATTATCTGATTTATTATTCAATTGT